TTATCTTAAGTTGTTATTTTGTTTTTGTTTTTTTCCTCTATTGTTATGGAAATAAATAATTAGTCCCTGTTTTAATTTTGCTATAAAATAAAAAAATGATAGGCCTGGTTTTTTAAGAATATACGGAAATAAGATTGATTAATTGTTTTATAAAATCATTCATTTTGCCATTTTGTGTACATATGAGTATGAAGATACGCATAACTTATCTGTATGGCCTTTTTAAAAACCATGTTAACATTACTATCATTCATGGATGAACATTCGACATATCCACATGCTCCTATATCTTTTGCCATTTGAAGACCTTCTTCTGTTGTTATTTTTGATGAATACTTATTGGATAATTACGTTCTGCTTTTTCATTTGATTCTCTCAAATCACTTTTAAGGCCAACTAACAATATTGGAATGTCTCGATTTAAGCGTCTGATTTCTGGCAACCAAAGTGTTTTAAGACTTTTGAAGGTGTCCAAATTAATAATTGAGAAACACAGGACAAAACATGTGGTATTTGGATAGCTTGATGGAATTAAACGGTATTCTTCTTGTCCGCCTTTATCCCATATTTCCATGTTAAATTGAATATCGTTGTAAGTCACAGTCACAGTATATATTTCTGTTATAATGGGGATATATTCACAATGAAATTCACCAGTTGTGTACTTGGTAATGAGACTTGTCTTGCCAACATTATTTTCCCCATTGAATAGTAATTTTATTTTTTGGTTAATCGTTAGTGATTTTATAGTTCTAAAAGGTAATTTAATTGGGGTTTTCCCGTTTTAAAATGCCGCCTTAGTCGCCAAATTGTGTTTCAAATTAAATAAAAACGAACAATAGTTTAGAAGTTTCGTTATTGAAAAAAAATAAAAACTTGGGAAAAAAAGAAAACAGTGCATATTGATATTTTAAATATTTTTAGTGTTTTTAATTATAATTGAAAAACAGAAAAACATTTCTTGTTTGTGACCAAATGATTGATCACTTTTGCGACAAATAGACTTATTTGACAATTAATATAAAGATAAATAGACACCTTTCACCCTATATATATATATAAATTCAAACTATTTAAAATTAAAAAATGATTTTATATTTTATGAAACACATAAAAAAACAATTATAATTTTATTAATAAATAAATTTGGACAATTAAATGTGATCGTATCCAATAATTTGATGATGATATACATTTACATCATAGTACATAGTCGTGTGGATTGGATCTGAATATCCACAAGTTGTACATGTACAACAACAAACTGTTTTCACACATCCACACCAATCAGGGCACAGCGATGGGCACATCTCGTAACTAGTAATAAACAACAATTGCAGTCACTGCATAACAGCACACACCCAACTAACACTATAATCGGCACGAAAGCTATAATATAAGACATTTCACCTCCTCAAACGCGATTTGGTATATCAGTGTAAAACACGTTGAAAAGACCACTGTTGGAAATACACCACACATGCACTCAAATCCATTAATTATAACACTTCTTACAATATCACCACTATAAATGTGCCCATCACAAAAGTACTCTTCATCTGTTCCATCATCAAAATATTTCATAGAAATACACACAAGAATTGGAAATGCGACTAAATGGTACAAATACCAATAACAGAAATACAAGCAAATGGACACGATGCCACTCGAGTAATTTAAACTGTTCGGTGACGCCATTTTAACAACAAAAAGAGTCAGAAAAATAAGAAGTGGGACATCCTTTATTATAGCTTCTGAAAGTGCATACAGTGATATTGAACATATTCTTCGTTGGTTGATGTGAACCATCTGATGAAAATTGTTAATAACAACTTCTTTAAAATGAAAAAATCGGTGTAACAGTTCATTGGTATTGAAATGCACTCCACACGACAAAATGGTGATCAAATGATACAAAAGTAATGGCAAGACAACATAATAAAATTGTATAACATTAAATGAAAACAACACGAACAAGATATACACAAATAACACTACAATTGGTAGAAAAAAGTTTGTGCCAATTCGCGTTGAATTTCCAATATAAGAAAAGGGCATAAAAAGAGTCGAAACAAACGTAAACACAGGAGCACCAAATTTGTCATATTCTTCTCTTATGTTGACATGTACTCGAAATAAATAAACGCCAAATAGAAAGGTAAGTATCGGATAAAGTAACAATAAAGATAATGGGCCACATTTGATAGAAATTGTTTTGTCTAAAGAAAGTGGATATAACACACAAAATAACACAAGACATATTCCACATATAAAGTGCGATATGTGGTTTGTAAAGAACACCTTTATGACTGTTAACACTTCATTGCGAAAAACAGTTCTCCACTCGTGACCCAATGTAATGAGATGACTATTTGTATACAATTTGTTCGCGTTTTGAATCGACAATTTTTGAATGCACTGTGAACGTGTTAAAAAATCATTGTTACTAATCGAGGAATAAATTTCATTGTCTGTTTGTAAATGGCTGTATAACCGACAAGTCTCAGTGATATTAAGAAAAGTTTGCAAATCACATTTAGAACTTATGTTCTTCATGATATTAACTGGAAGAACAACATTCATTTGACAATTATAATTATTAGTATTTATATAAAAATTTTAGTTTTTTTAAAATTTAATAATATAATAATTGTTTATACTTTTCACTGTTTTCTAAAAAAAATATTTAATTTCATAATAATATAATTATTCATTTTTTTTAAAATCAAATATTTTAAACGTTTTTAAGATATTTAAAAAATTATAACTAATTTTATTATCTTTATATCATTTTATTTTTTTACTACAATTATAATATAATATATTCTTTAATAAATTGTTTAATTTAAATTAATTATTTATTACAAAACTAGTATAAAATCGTTGTCTAATTAGTGATTGTGACGAAGTTCATCAATTCAAAAACTAACACATCACTTTATAATATAATTTGATTTATTTTGTGTTATATTATATTAAATAAATTAAGCAATTTAATATAATAAAATTTATATATATGTTTAATTTAAATTTAAGAGACAAGTTATTATCAAGTTTATTTAATATACTTTACTCGAAAATTTGGAAACACTGTCTTTGCTTTTGAAACATATAATTTACTTCATTAAATATAAATAATTTAAATGTAATTTTAAAAACACCAAATATTCTACATCAATTTTTGACATCATATTAATAATATCACATGTAAGTAGTCATTCAAATAACAGTTAAAATTAAAAATTAAACAGTTCAATGATTGGCGCGAACAAAAGTTAAGGTGGAACCATTATTGCTACTGATGACACCATTATGTCAAGGTTGGCTTGACAATCCATCAAGAAGCAACAAAAAATGCAAATGAGATCATGTCTGGAATTATCACAGACTTCCAACCGAAGTGATTATATATTAATGGTGTCGAATACACTATCACAATAAATTACAAAGACAAGTGAAATGGTTTAAATGCTGGTGCAGCAGGTGTTTCGATTTACAAGTAAATCAAAATTATTTTTGATTGGATTCTTCAAAGACGCGTCTTATTTTCTGTCCGAACAAAACTCGACGTCGTTTACAAGCTCAAAGATTTCATTTGACAATTGATGTATTTAAACAATTCATTTTTATCACAGTTTTATTATATTGATCAGCATTAATATAAACAACAATTTAAATTCATAAATATTGTAAATAAAATATTTATATTCAATAAAAAAAATCAATACATAAATATTAGGGGGCAGACCTTTCCCACCCTCACCCCGTCTAAATATAGAATTAATTTACTATATTTTATAATTTTATAATTATAATTATAGTAAATGGGCGTTTTGGATAATATTAGGTCTGGTTCCCGAATTCAAGAAATGCCGAAAATTCACCTCGAGTTAGTGGAAACCGAGTGAGACGGAGCATTGAAAAGAAGGCTCTGAAGACACACTCAAACAGTCTGTTTGTGCACCGTTTCACCCACTTTCCAAGTCCTCCCTTGGCGCGGATCCCCCCTGACCCCCCCCCCCCCCCCGCAAACGGGGGGGGGGAACCACATCCGCGTCCACACAGTACGGACAAGGAAAGTGGGTGACATGGGGACGCACAAACAGTGGCTGAAAAGTGGACTTCCTTTAAAAAACACTCGCGGCAAATATTTTATTTTGGTAAACGGGGTGAGGGTGGGAAAGGTCTGCCCTAAATATTAGTATAACATAATAATATTTTTGGACTTATTTTTTTGGATTTTATTTTGATTTATTAAAAAAATAAAAATAAAAATAAAAAAATAAAAAATAAAAAATAAAAAATAAAAAATAAAAAATAAAAAATAAAAAATAAAAAATAAAAAATAAAAAATAAAAAATAAAAAATAAAAAATAAAAACGTGGAAGGTGGGAGTTGAACCCACGACTTTTTGTATTTTGACTTATAACATAAATCAGAAAGATTTTTGTTAAATAAAACGTTTTACCAACTAAACTACCTCCACTTCTATAATAAAGAAAATTTAGATGTGTCATTCATATTGTTCTATTTTTATTTTCAATAACAATTTTGTTGATATAATTCATTTATTATTATAATACGATTGAAAATCATTTAAAAAAATAAAATTAATATAAATTGTTTTTCAAAAGTCTGTTTTATAGTTTTTTATATGAATAAATTTTAAAAGGATAAAAATTTTATATAAAATTTAAAATAACGGGATTTTTGTTTCTTAAATACACGTAACTGATCACAAAAGTGCATTTTATTATAAAAAGCTGATAAAATAAATAAATAAAATTTTCGAAATCGAGTCTTCGTTAATAATAAATTAAATGAATAACACTCAAGAAAGTATCGCGTAATATTGAAAAATTGATGGTGTTGTCACAACAATGACTAGAATATCAAAACCCAAAATTATTAATAGTTTGCTCTATTTTTTTGTTTAAACTCATTATTTCTTATTCTTTTGTCCAAACAAGAAAAAAAAACAACAGCAAAATACCGTTCAAATGATGATGTGCTTAGGTGTGTTGTCACAACAACAATAATATCAAAAGTAAAAATTATAAAATATTATCTTTATTTTTGTTTTAATGTTTTTTGAAACTCTTTATTTTGTTTTCTTTTGTTCAGAGTAGAAAACCACGTGTTTATCTTTAACTGAAAATGAAAAATTAACAAAATGTTATTTAGTTACAAAATTACATTAACAACAACATCACAATTTACCACTGTGTTAATTGTCGTATGATTTAACCCACAACGTTGAGTTTGTGTTGCGAAGTATCGAGTTGTGGTCAAATCAAATAAAGGGATCGGGGTTTTTGGAAAAAACTGGCTAATATTCCGACAATTTCCCGATGTCGTGTAAAATAATTGAACAATATTGGTATTTTTTTTCAAAATTAAGTCTGTACTTTCAGTTTTTTGTTTTTTATGTTTTTTTAGGAAAAATAAAAAATAAAATACGGGACTTTAGGGAGTTCTAAAAATATTGCGGTACAGACTTGTGAACTACAGTTTACCAATGACAAAATATGTGAAATAGTTGTGATAAATTAAAGATTTTGTATAGTTGAGTAAATTTAAATTATTATTTTTTTATAACATAATCATTTTTCATTGTATATTTTATTTATAATTGTTTACAAATTAACATTATTTCAGTGATTTGTTTAATAAAACTTTCGTCAAAAACATTATGATAGAGTTGTTATTGTGTTAAAAAGTCTATTGATATTGCCCATAATAACATTGTTTTGAGTTATCAATTAAAATAATATCTTTGTGATTAAACTTCATATTTATTAAATAATTCACTGTTATAAATTACAATTTTCATCAATATTTCATATTTTATATGTTAATATCGTTAAAAAAGTGCTTAAGTTATGGTTATTCTCATTTGTCTGAAAATAATGTACAAGTCCTTATCATTATGATAAAACATCGACTTTATCGATTTTTGTTTCTTTAGTGCTCTAGTGTAATCACTTTTTGTGCTTAAACTTTTAGTTTTTTTGACCAAATAATATTACAGTCATGCGAAAAAGCTGTCGCGTTTGGAAAAACTTGTCTTGAAAAAATATTTTATAGTAAATTTATAATAACTTACTATACAGTATAGCTTCTATTCGATTTATTTGCAGGGTCATTTCACAAAAATCGAATAAAAATATTCGGCATTTCCAAATAACATTTTCTATTTCAGATCATTTGTTTATAGTACTAGAATAGTTCATTACCACCCAAGACAGGTTTTTCCAAACGCGACAGCTTTTTCGCATGACTGTATTTAGTTTATTATTAATAAATAACAATTAAAATATTTCTTTGTGTTATTTTAAATATATTTTAATGTTTGTATTATTAAAATAAAAATCTATATTATTTTTTATAAGTCGTTCGTTTTTAAAAAATCAGTTTGTTTGATTAGGTTTTTATTAAATATTTACTCGTTTTCCATCATTCACCTGTTCTATGTGTTTAATCAAGAACATACAAAAATTGTAAAATAATCTTGCATACACAGTTTTTATTATTAGCAATAATAATATAATCTATATCATTTGTAATGTTGAATTAATGTTGATATTGGATGATACATATTATATAAAAAATAACGATTCTCAAAATGATTTATTATTTGTTGTACACTTGTATATTTATAATTGATTTTAAAATCATTATCTCCATATAAAAATTTAAAATCAAATTATTCATAGCTTTTATTGATTAAAGTTATGAAAAGTTTATATTCATTTTTTAATGATTATAAAAAATAATATTTGAATAACATTAAAATATATTTTAAATTATTCAAACATCTAAAACTGTTAAATCAAAATGTCTAAAATTGACAGTTATCACGTAATGATAGTCTCGAAGTACTTTGACACAATCAAAGACTTTATTAACTTGGAGTTGGTATGCAAGAAGTTTGGTGATACTATGGAAAAGTTCCATTTCAACCCGATTCCGTTAATTTTTAAAACACTTGGATATTTCTCAAACATTGAGACACTTCACTTGTGGAATAGAGAAGATGAAACCTTTGGCAATGGATTTCTAATCAAAAAATTACAAAATGGAGACAACGAAGATATACCTGTATTTAAGAAAGCGTTTTATAAAATCATTGTGTGGTTTAATGTTGATTTTGAAACTGTTGACCAAAACAAAAGTCGAAACATCGAGTTCAAAAATGTGACGTACACTCGAGATGATCGAGAGAAATTTGGTAATATCATACCTTCAAGTGTAACATCAATTGGCGAAAAGTGTTTTAATTGGTGCAGCTATTTGAGTAATATTACGATACCATTAAGTGTTACATCATTTAGCGATTGGTGTTTTATTGGATGTAGTAGTCTCAGCAGTATGATTATACCATCGAATGTCACATCAATTGGTGATTATTGTTTCAGTTATTGTAGTAAGCTAAGCAGTGTTGTTATACCATCGAATGTCACATCAATCGGTGATTATTGTTTTTATGAATGTAATAATCTAAGCAGTGTTACAATATCATCTAATGTGACATTATTTGGTAGTTATTGTTTTCCATCAAACACAATTGTTCAACAATGTTATTGAAATGACTTAGTTGTTATTATTTGTTTTTTTGTTACAAATAACCCAACAATCCATTAAACAATTTCTTATTGTTATAATTATCAATACTTATGTCGTAAAAACACGTTTAAATAAACAACACTTTAACAGAAATGAGCACATAAAATGTTTAGTAACAGAGTGTTTTTTGTAAATATTTGCTTATTAAATCAGTTGAATGTATTGTAATAACAAACTAATAACAATGAT